TTATATAACGCAAGTTAGATATCGAGTCGAAACTGTATCATGATTGTAGATTAATTGAATGCTTCAAACATATTCTGATTTATGTTGGTAGAATGTATATCGTTATCAGGACTATATAAAAAAAACTCTGTGGAAAAATGAAGATTTGTTCAAACCATAAACGGCTTCATTATTCAAAAATGTAAAACGTAAATCGCAATTTTAACCAACGGAGGCATTATTAATTATCATCGCAGCGAAAACTTTACATTTAGTGCATTTATATGGTCTGTTATTGAATGTATTGAGTGAGCATTATGTAAAACGACATTTAACAGAGATGAAAGAAAGAAATGCTTATAAACTGAGTACAAATGTGGTCGTCTTTTCTTTCTTGCTTTTCGTATGCTTTTTGTGTGAACATTTGAATCAGAATATTTACCACCCCCTCTCATCTCAAACAACTTATTGGTTTCAGACAATAATCTTTAAGAATAGTACTATAACAATCTTTAAGAAGTTTATTACGATATTTGTTCTTAACCTCTATAAACCTTTCAGGTCTTTCCTATCCAGGTATGATATGTGATGATGCTTATAGTGTTTCCCTCATCGGGACAAGTGATTATTTTTTGACGACTACTACAGCAGCCCACGAACTTGCACACAAGTACGTTTATTCATAGCACCCTATTTGCTCCCCACATCTAGCGTTGACTTTATGATTTCTAGATGTGAAACCTTTTATGGCCTCAGATCCATGGACAATGGTTTCCTTTGTGCTTTTTTATTTTGTAAGCCCAAACCAGCTGAATACAGCATCATTTGGGCGGTAGAAAACACCATTATTAGTCATGGAATAGATTTGAATGTATATTAAAATGCTTTGCAAAAGCCCGATTATTTTAATGACGAATTCTAGTATGTAAAACGAGTGAACTGAGTGTTGAAAAGGTTTTGTATGTTCTGTTCTAGAAATTATATTAAATGATGGTGTATTGACCCGATGGAGACAATGTTTTGATTTTATAAGGAAGCGCTTAGTCCTTTGCCTTGCGTGTTTATTTTTTCAGTCTTGGAGCTGACCACGATGGAGAGGGAAACGCGAAATCTTGCAGGGCAAATGATTCATTTATTATGAGTCCCTATGAACCAGTGTTCACAAAAGACATGCCATATTCTAGAAATCCCTGGATTTTCTCTAACTGCTCCGTGGATGCGTTCAAGAATGTATCGAAAAGCAAGTATGTATACACAATGTATATAAGATAACAACTATTGTAAACTTCTATGGGATATTTTTATTACCAGTGATTAAGTTGACCAGTGATCTGTGAGGTGGAGCAATTTTTCGCACCTACCTTGATAGAACATATTGTTAAACTTTGGTAAATTTAAGTTGAAATATTTAAATAATAAAAAAAAAATAGATCCTGTAGCCTCATGATATAGAGTCGTTATCAGATATACCGGTTTTCATGTATATGCACGCATTTTATTCAACAAAATATGTGTGCTTCTTTGTCCGTGCGAAAACAGGCATACGTACTTATGAGCATATTCAAGCAGGTCGATATGTAGGTATGTACATAGAATAACAAGTGCGCAGGTAACTTTGATTCATATCACTGTAAATAGTCCTTTTTGATATTTCAGAAGGTGTTTGCGGAGTGTGGGTGTTGTTTACAACGATATGGAGTGGAAGAATTTTATGACGAAACTGCCAGGACAGATTTTTCTTCCAGATGAGCAGTGCAAGATTATCAATGGAGCCAATTCTTACTTCTGTGGGGTATGTACATTGTACGTGTTACCCGTGCGTACTTCTAAGTAAGCAGTGCTCAGAAAGACAAGCAAAATCAGTTTTCACTCATTTACAGTTTTTTTTTGAACCACAGTAGTTTATTTGGACACTATAGCGGATGTAAGCATGGTTTGCTGTTTACGGTGTTAGAGATTAAGGCGCAGCTAACTAATAACGAAACCAAACCATAATTGACCATATCGCACAATATCCCGAAATCGACTGAATTGGTACCATCAGCAACTGCAGATGGATGTTAGGTCACTCTGTGGCATTTGCTCTGAGGTGTCTTACCGGAGTCAGTGACCATTTGATTACAGGGTCACGAATCTAAACGAGACAATCAATTATTATTTTAGTTCATGAGACAATCATTAATAGTTGTCTCTGGGTTTTCCTAAAGATTTACAGACCACTTAAGGATACTACTTGCTTCCTACAGAAAGAATCAAGCCAAAACAGAAAATAAAATGTCTTTTGAGTTTTGTTTTGTGTGATCGACCTCTTGGATTATACTCCGAATGACTAAGCAATCCAGCATTATTCATGTATCACAATGTCATTATCCAGAATTTCTTTCAATGCGTTCACAAAATCTCTCTATCTCTGTCTCTCTGTCTGTCTCTCTCTCTATCTATCTATCTATCTATATAAATATATATATATATATATATATATATATATTTATATAGATAGATAGATATATATATATATATATATATATATATATATATATATATATATATATATATGTGTGTGTGTGTGTGTGTGTGTGTGTGTATGTATTATTTGTTCGAACCACCTATAACAAAAATCCCCTGCTTTTGAATGGCTCTCTTAATTCTGCGTGCTTGATTAACTTTCTTTCATTCGCACCTCAATGCCCTCTCTTCCAAGACTTGAAGCAACTGACTACATCCAGACGAGAACACCTCTGAACAATTGCAGAAGAAAAGCCAATTTCTTTCTAGAATCCACATGCGTCTCTCAACTCGCTGATTCATTGTGAATTCCCATTAAATGTATCCTGCCGCTACTTGATCTACACTCTTTGACAAAGTTAACGAGACATGACCTATTGATTATTAATTTCTTGGCTATTATGTTTGCTAATGCAGTGGAAAAGATCCTCAGTTGCTGTTGTTGTTGTTGTGGGGTTTAACGCCATTTTTCAGCACACGATAGGCTATTCATGGCGCCCAGTATTAATGGTGGAGGAAGAAACCGGGAAATCACCGGAAAGAACCACCGACTCACGAGAAGCTACTGGCAAGCTTTCTCACATATCTACATTAGCCGAATCCTAGACTCGAACCCACGCAGACAGAGGTGAGATGGCAGTGATCCGTAACGGACAGTGCTTTAGACCACTCGGCCACTCGGGGCCCCGAACAGTTGCGATATCGTCTGGAACTGACTGGTATCACTAGAATCCTCCGTTGTTGCAAGCAGCCATAAGTATATCCTCAACAGGCATTGCTCATTCGTTCTTCCATAGTATACGCATCATTCTTACGGAGTTCTCATTAATCTGGGGCATATTATGTACCTCAGTCCCTACAGACGTATCATTAACCTTGGGAACATCCTGTACACTTTGTATTAGGTACTACTAAGTCCCTGGGCCGAACTAAATTAAAGTTTCTTATGACCTCAAATACTTCCTTCAAGGTAGGAGCACCTGTTTTACGAGCTCCGCTGGTAGCGTTCTTGGAAATTCTCGCAGACTATCTCTTCAGTGAGGATCAAAATGAGTTTGTTTAAGGAACTATGGTTTATTTCTACGTAATGCAAAATATCCCATGCAGATTGTTTTATAAGGTTGTTTCAGGATATTGCTTAATGCATGTATATTAGTATATTAATGAACATATAATTATTGTGTAGGTTTTCATCCCAAATGTAGAAAGTGTTAATAACAGAGGAAATATATAAGAAGCCAGTTAATATAATGTCATACGATTTGCTAATATCAAAATTCAAAACCAATCTCTCATATCCCCAGCGATACGTAAGCCAAAAGGCTGATCTCGGAGTAAAGTGTAACAATAAAATGGCATAGTCTGAAACTGCTACTGTTGTAAATCAAACCTTGTTCAATAGACTGAAACATTTAGACTATAATAGTTGATTATTTCGACGATATCTCACTCCTCTAGTTTTTCGGCTTTTCTACTTCCTATTTAAGACTATGTCAGCAGATATATGCCGCTTCATGGAATGTACACATCCGGAAACGGGCCTATGCAAATTTGGTTATTCCAGTGCAGCTAGAGGAACAAGCTGTGGAGACAATGCAGTAATCTCTCTCTCTCTCTCTCTCTCTCTCTCTCTCTCTCTCTCTCTCTCTCTCTCTCTCTCTCTCTCTCTCTCTCTATCTCTCTCTCTCTCTCTCTCTCTCTCTCTCTCTCTCTCTCTCTCTCTCTCTCTCTCTCTCTCTCTCTCTCTCTCTCTCTCTCTCTCGTCAAAAATATGCCTTACCCTGGTCCTTAATGTTGGAACAAATTCTTTAAATCAAAAGTATTTATTTTCTAATACAACAATATGAAATACACAAAATAATACCTTCCTGATTATCATGAATGTTTGATTAGGTGTGAATAAAAAAAAAACATTGAGAGCGTTATACAATTAGTCGAACTTCAGTGTAGTCTTTCAGGCAGCTTTGCCTAATTTCCTTCAAAACATTAAAATTAAAAACCAGTATAAGTGAAAAACATTCATTGTCTTCTAATTCGTTTGTCTTTCTTGCAGTGGTGCATACAAGGAAGATGTGTTTCAAAAACTTCGAAATAGGTAAGTATATGTCTTATGTTTGAAGAAACTTTACCACGGTAGTAGGACTGCAAACTCAATCTCATAAAGTTGCTGGTTCGATTCCTGCTTAAAACAGGTAAAATCAGCCGCAACGATGTGTCCCTTGGCAAGGTAATTTCAGCTATTGCCACTTCAACATACAATTTCATGAGTAGCGATGGTGTGGTGTTTATAATTGTTAACGTAGCTTTAACAATTTTTCAGTCATATTGCTACGATGTCTTCAGTGTGGCAGTTTATAGTGATGTCTAGCACTGGGGTATCATGCCGCAGACATGTAGCATGATGTCCCACCCAGTCACATTATCCTGACACCAGGCCGACCAGTCCTAACACTAACCTCTTAATGCTGAGCGTCAAGCGAGGAAGCTGTTAGTACTATTTTTGTAAGTCTTTGGTATGACTCGACCGTGGATCGAACCCACAACATCCAGCATCCGAGGCGGACACTTTAACCACTAGGCCACCGGAGTGGCTCATTTCATGAGCAGATATTTCGTTAAACAATGAACAATTAAAAGCAGCCATTAGGAATTATTTTTTTGAAAAAGATAGAAAAAGAAACACTGGCTCCTAATACAGTTCTTAAGTTTAGTTATAATCCAAGTTTGAGTCATTTCGAATATCATTATAATCATAACGATAATGATGATGATGACAGTGATTGATCTTTTTTTTAAAATATAAAGTAAAACTTTGTCCAGTTTATTCGAGAATTCGAGGTGGAGATAAAAATTTTAAAAAGTCCCATTAGTCCACAGGCTCAACCGTCGGAGTGCTATACTCAGGCAAGCATGAAAGATATCTTCATAGTTGAAAAGGAATATATATATATATATATATATATATATATATATATATATATATATATATATATATATATATATATATATATATATATATATAGATGCAATAAACTGACGACGAACAGTACGAAACTAGCAACTAACTAGCCTAAGCGCTTTCGACTCTTAATGAGTCTTTTTCAAAGGCAAATACAAAACATAGTTACGACAAACAAATAAACACAAAAACGTTGCGTTTGTAAACCTCTACATTTCTATCTTCACATGTGCTAAAACTATAAATACAACCAGCTTGTATAGACTAGTTGCGGAAACTGAAAACGTTGTATAATTCCCTAAAAGTCTACAAGCCAAAGCGACATCTATTTTTACTTTGTGTACATATGTAACGCAGATTATATCCCGGATATTGGGTTCTATACCGGTTATTCTTATAGTAAAAATTGAAGGATAAGAAGATTTAGAAAATGTTAAATTCTACTAGTGCATAGTTTTCATTTTCTAGTCTTCTTGGTTTAGACCGCTTGGTTTCAATGTTCTAAGGCGGCGTATCCAGTATGATTCCTTTTCCTTCCTGGTTTCGGAAATCCAGCTGTGGTTGTTGGCAATAGCGATAAGTATTATATCACTGAAAGTGTGGCCAGGGGAGGAGAAGTGTTCTGCGACCGGGCTTCTGTACAGCTTTTTTGTCATCCAATCAGATCTATGAAGGTTTATCCTTATGTGTAGCTTTTCAGTTTCTCCCACGTACTGAAGGCCACAGATCTTACATGTGATGAGATAAATCACATTCTCTGTTTTGCACGTTTTGTTTGGACCATGTATGTTTAGTTTTTCTTTAGTCACTGTGCTAGTGAATGTCTTGGTCTCTATCATATGTTGACAGGTTTTGCATCTTTTATCGCCACAGGGTCCAGATTGACTAGGTTGGTTTTGACTAGCGATTGTTGTTAGCTTGGCCGTGACTAGGATGTCCTTTAGGTTTTTTGGTCTCCGGTAAGCTACTACAGCGCTTAGGCTAGTTAGTTACTAGTTTCGTACTGTTCGTCGTCAGTTTATTGCATCTATTTTAATTAATCCCTGACAAACGTGATCCCTTGGTGGATCCAGTACGCTTGAGATGGTTGTTATTCGCCATATGATTTGTATTCTTTATATATATATATATATATATATATATATATATATATATATATATATATATATATATATATATATATATATATATATATATATATATATATTTACGGGCATTAGTATTTGAGAGGGCAGTACTTAATGCAAGAAATTTGTTTTCGAGGAGACCAATGTTTGGGGATAACTTTAATCTCTTAATTCCGAAACTGAAATATGAGAAAACTTCTCATGGCAACTTTAAATATAATTGGCTTTGAGTCATTTTCGAGAGGGGTGTGGTGATTGTGGTACTGATGGTGTTTTCGATTTTAATTTCATATTTACCGTAAAAGGCAATTCATTTTATCTACTATATTCATGCTGAAGAATGTAAGAGGTAAACGTTTCTTATATGAAACATTTGTTACAAAGGAACGTGGACGAGCTGTGATGCTTGTTGAGATAAATAAAAGGTCTTATTATATGTTAATTTTTTCTCCGTTATCGTTACATTATCAGAATCGTTCAGTATTTTACGATATTGTACTCACACACTCAATCCATATTGCATTCATGTGAATAAAGGAACTACTTTCTATTGTAAACAAACATTTTGTTTCTGAATGAACTAAAACAGATGTTTCGTGGCGTGCCACATACCAGCTGCTTTGCCACTTTCGGCGTTAACGTTTTTGATACAATGTTTCAGATTTAGGCCAGTTAGAGCGGCAAGACAGGGTCCTTACAAATGACATGATAGTGACAAGGCATAAACTCTCAATATTAAGTAGACCAAAAGGCCATTTTCGTTCGAAAAGTAGGTATAGGTCACTCTCAAATTCAAATTCAAATTTATCTGGGAGGAGTTTCGTGCGCATTAACAATATTGTGGAATGATGACTCTTTGCTTGTGTATTTAGTTTGGAATACGGCATACATTCAGTTACTTTTTTTGTGTATATTATGTTTGTTTGCATAATTAAGCGTTTGATAGAATAAGAAAATGAGCATATAATAAAACGGTTACTGCATTTGTATAGGATTATATGAACTCGTTTAGTCGGATGTATATATTGCACTCCCAAGGTCGTGCAGTATATTCATCCCAATAACTCGTTCATATTTTCCCATGCAAATGAAGTAAGCTATAATCGTATTACTTTATTTAGCAAATATTCCACACTGTAAGTTATATTTATATTAACTTAGTAAATATAATATAAATATAAATATAATATAATGAAAAAATAATATAATATAAATATAATGAATATTGGTTATCTTGACTTTGCTATGCGGTAACATTAAACAGATAAAATCATTACGAGTACCGTGGTCATTTTCGTTGAGCGTTCAATGTAATAGATAGTCCTATCAGACAAATACTGGTGGTTGCAAAGAGAGCTTTAAATATACGATAACAGAGCTTTAAATATAAAGAATTATCCAATTTGTCGAATCCGCACAGCCTGTTGTTGACACTGTCGACTTCATTCGTAGAAAGTGAACAGTTTAGGAATCATCCTTATGATATTATGCATTGTTAGAGTTCAAGCGGATAGGTAAAATCATTTCTAGGACGTGAATGAATTAGGTCATTTTAAAATTTTGAGATAATTCAATCGTATTTGCACGGGCTTCACCCACGCAATATCAAAACAAATTGAAATTCCATCTCTCATATGTACACTACCTGCAGAATGTGTGTGATGTGGACTTTTAACGTAGCTTTAAAATATTTTCAGTCATATCGCTACGATGTCTACAGTGTGGCAGTTTATAGTGATGTCTAGCACTGGGGCATCTTGCCACGAACATGTAGCATGTACCATCCAATCATATTATCTTGACAAATGGTCGAAGTGTCCTTACACTAACCTCTTAATGATGAGGGCCATGCGAGGCAGCTGTTATTACATTTTATAAGTCTGGTATGACTCAGACGAGTTTCGAACCCGCGAAATCCCGCATCGGAGGCGAATGCTCTAACCACTTAGGCTAACCCGACTTGCAGTATCAGGTGTGTATAACAGCCGGGTTGAGCTTGTGACGTGTTACATTATTATATCGTATCCCTAGATGCGAAACTTTATGGACCATATTGTTTTAAACATCCGTGCTATTTCTTTGGAACAATTGAGAGTGGACAGAACTTAACACAACACAATAATGCCACAAAATGAAATACTGTTTTGGAAATTCATGACTAATTTAAACAATCGCATGCCATGTAGTATGGTTGTCATCACGTCTATATTTTCGTGGTCTCTTCATTTGCATTATGAACAGTGAACTGGCTTAGTGTGTGTAATTAGCATGCTGTAAAGATTGATGTTTAAGATATTCTAATTACAAAGCAACTGTATAGCCTAAAAGACACGCAAATTGATCACAGAATGTCACATGTATGTGTCCGTTTTCAGGATCAATTAGCGACAACAAAATTAAACTTTACTTTGAATAACTAAGATGAATATTTAACATTCAATTTAGTTTTCTTGGGGTGTCTAAATTTAAGTGACTTAATCTTGTTAAAGAGAACATCATATAATTTTCTGATTGCTGTATGCAAATTAGGCTTTATATCTGTCCACTCTCATGATCAACAAATTCAGTGCCTGTCTAGTTGTACAGCTTCAGATTTGGATATCTATAGTGTGTATATTCCTTTATTCGTTATGCAGGAACATCACGCTATCAACAATAGCAAAATGTCTGAATTCTCAGCTCAGTCCAAAACAACAAAACAACTACGATTTAACATATTCAAACGACATTTTGGCATAATTCCAGACAATATCAAGACGTTTCGTTGGCAGAAAAATTCGGTTTGTTACACAATATGAAATAAACATTAAGCAATGAAGATAAATAAATAAATATATACACTCACCTTTTCCATGCAAGATGGTGGCAAAAGTCCTTTTGAGTGTGGGCGTGTGTATGTGTGTGATTTTAAACGTTGCTTTAAAAATTGAGTCATACCGCTATGACGTCAGCACTGGGGAATCATGTTGCAGACGTGTAGCGTAATGTCCCACAAAATCACATTATCTTGACTAAACGCCAACCAACTTTAACAAGAACATCTTAATGTTGAGCGCCTACCGATGCAATTGTAATGATTATTTTGTAAGTCTTTGGTATGACTCATCCGAGATTCAAATCTACGACCTCCCGCATATAAGGCGGAAGCTTTAACCACTTAGGTTACCTGAGCGATAAGAAATCTCAGTTCCTCTAGAGAAGTTAAGTGTGATTATGAAAATATCGCTGTATCAATTAACCTTAATTCTAATTTCAGGCGTCATGATGATCATCAGTCATACCTATATCAATTCCTGTTTACAACGGACACCTGCGCGGATTAAATATAAGTCTATAACAAGCACGTGTTTAGTTAACTCATTTTATTTTAGATCAGAGATTAAAATATGGTTTTGTATCTGAAAGTCATGAAAACAAATTATTCTATTCAGTTAGTGTTGTTTTTATTGAATTAATAACAAATATTGTTTTTGTGCTGTATATATTTCCATACAAGAATAAATACGAAATTTTTTCTTCTCTCTATCCACTCAATACGCGTTTATAATAGCAAACATATTGCAATATCACTAATGAAATACAAATTTACTTCCATACTACACTCAGTATTCATTAGCAGTAACCTTGATAAACATAATAAACTATATAAGCATAATTATCACTAAAATACTTAGAGATTAATTGTAATAGATTAAAACAACACCAGATTTGTCGGGTAGCAGCATTCAAGTTTTGTATAAATTATCGGTGAAGTTATGTTAAAGTAACACCCGACGTAACGAACAGCTAAACAGAATAAAGGACTTATTAAACCGGAAGAGGTAAAAACAAGTCAGCACACGGACCTACGAACACACTTAACGGCGAAGAAATAATTGACGTAATCAAACGTTTATTTGATATTGTTAGAACCAATAGTAGATACTTGTGTTCAGGTTAGGAGGTGCTGGCATGAAGAATTCACCGAAGGAGTAGAGGGTAAAAAGCTTGTGAAAGCTTACTAATATAAAAGCAAATTCCATTTGTGCGTGTCATAGAATCATATACTTTTGTGCTAAATACGCCGGGCGAATGTGTGTCAATCAAATGTACCTCATCCCCGCAAATAAATGTCGTGTATATATCATTCTCCTGTCTTCGGCGGTCAGTGAGTGACAAGGCTTTTCTTAACTATTATAGAATGTTTTCTCCATGCCTTAAGCTGACACAGATGGAAGGACTTAAAATTTTTTGGGAATTTTCTTGGCTAAAGACAAATACATTAAAGGTTTTCCTTTCTATTAACATTTTAATTTCAACAAAGTAGTTGTTTTTCAATATCATACTTATCCCACATCTCAAAAAGTAAAATTTTCTAATGATATAAGAAATGTCCTGCAGAAAGATTTTATGCAAAATGACAAATTTAAAAATCTAACAAAAGGAACATACATTATAGTTTTGGATGGACAATCTAGATACAAAATATAGCTTGGAATGATACATTTGTACGAAGCGAGATTTATAACAGGGAAGTAAAGCATTTGCAGAAAAAAATAAAACATTTAATAATTTTTATTACTCAGGCCAGAAAAACACCTTAGTGGAACTGTTAACATGACCTTGAAAACTTAGTTTGCTAAAACAGTTCACTCACGATGTAGCCATTAATTATGTTATCATGTTAACATGTCTAACTGAGGGATATCGACACTAATTACATATCAATAATGACGTCAGCTGAGGCAAGAATGAAAAGAAACATGACAACTGTGTATAAATATATTTCGTGTCCGTACAACTTATACATTCTTTACACTATATATTTAAATCTTTGTGAACTACTTTAAGTTAATATCGCAAATTCAGGTAAGGAATTTTATGTGATCCACTCTTTTAGGAGCTAGAGAACTTTAAGAGGAGGGATCACAAAGTAGAGACGGATTACGTGGACGTGGTATGATAAATTATATTAAAGTTATTAAGCACCTGAAAACAGAGTGCAGATAAAACAGGATGACACAATTGTTTATGTAATGGTCACTGTATAAACAACATAAGACCAGGGTCAGGGATAATTTGAGTTTCTTAACGTTAAGGGGTTTCAAGAATGCCACAACAGTGAAAATGAAGATCGATATAAGCTATAGGACTTAAATCATGCAATATGTGTGAAATTCCTATAGGAAAATAGTTTTAGAAAAAAGCATCTAAAAACATGGTATAAGATTCAGATAAAGGATAACACTAAAACAAGTTTAGGCGACTACAGTATAAGTGATGTCATGGCAGGATAACAAATGACAAATATTTAAATATCAAATTTTATGTAAGCTTCTAACAACAAAGGTGAAAGATAGTCTCTACCATTTGTACAAACATACTCTATTTAAATTGCATAATCTGCTTTTTGTACTTGGATATTTCAGATATGACGTTTTTTCCTCGTACAGTTATTATTTTTACAACTTTAATATACTGATAAAAATTTCTATCTCAATAGAATGACAAATTATCAAACATCAGGTGTTATGGGGTAAACCTTTACATCACACGGATGAAAACAAAATCCAGTACATCCTCATTTTCAAAAGAGTGTATTTTCACAACTTTGGTGAAATCAGGTTTGAAATCTTGGAAATGGAGCAAACAACCGACAGAAGAAGTGGTAAATCTTATTATTAGGGATCTTAAGTGTGTGCATCATAGATCAGATTTAAATGATACTACAGTATATGAAATGGAAAGAAAACAAGTACAAATAAAACAGAATTCCACGTGTATTAGTTGTGGTAATATAGGACATAGAGGCTCACGGTACTAGTACAAAGCAAATTTCACAGTAATATTTAAACGACAATAATAGAATTGTAGATAAACAATATGCAATCTTTTCATGTTGCTTGGCCAACGTCGTAGCTACAAAGCATGGACTTATCTCAGGAATATAGTTAGCGGGAAAAGATTTACTTAACTGAAAATAACACCTTCCTTTAAAATAGTATCGGTTTTTAATAATTATATGTTAAATTTAACTTTAATGTTTCTTTGAACAAATTCAAATCATAATGCGATATGTGACTTTGAAGAAATTTTGTAAATTAGGCGATGTTGACAGTGGCAACATTAGTTTATGAGATTTCATCTTGCGTTTAATATACAAATATCTACAAAAATTGGTCAAAGTAGAGTACAAATGTAACGTTTATATATAGATGCAAGACATGCCCGTACGATTGTGACATATTTTTCTTTTAGAGGAACTCAAATCAAAAGGAACATATATCGGAACCAGCTAATTGTCGCCTGCAAGAAGTTACAAATCTACTGAAGCATGAATGGAGATACCTCAACGGCAAAACTAAATACTTGTTTGAGAATGAGCCAATAATAAAATAGCACTGACAGCAAAGTGTCTTTGAGGCATGCACCTTCTGACGTGATGAAGCATAAAATCTCATTGCAACTATGTACTTTATACCGTCTTATGGTGAGGTAAATTACAATCTGGTCAAACTAAATTAGCCTATCGCCGAAAGCAAACGTAAAACGCTTGCCTATACAAGTGCGCCTCCATTCACAAAAGTGCAGTTTGATAATAAAATTTATGTTCAATATTAGCAAAGCTGTCATAATGTTCACATGTTAGGATGGGGATATTAGTACGCTAATCGAATGTTATGACCAATTTAAATAATGCAGAACATATTTAAAAGTGCACTTAGACTCTCATGTTTGTAGGTGTATACCCATTACTGAGTGACGTATGGCTTGATCAAAAAAATCTTTCGTAATCCGGCAACTATTTCCAATTTGGATTAAACAATGCAATTAATACCATTTAAAATAAATGTCATACAATCTGATATTAAAGGTTCAAATAACAAATGACAATGTAGAAGATTGGACGTAATCTGAATTTGAAGCAACACAAAGATCACAAATAAAACATTGACCGTGAAATAAGTACTCATTCATATT